GCCCAAGATGACTCTCCTCGGAATTGCTAGAGCTCCCATAATGTCATTGATTATTTCCTTGCTTTAGTATATTTGGAAAGCAAATATACTAAAGCTCCTCACACAAGAAGGAGAGGTTAGAGGAGGACATAAAACCCCTGAGTCTCAGGCCCTGCCCTTTCCCATCATCCTCATTCCTGGCCCTCACCCTTTTTGGGTTGGTTCTTCAAGAGTCAGGCTAGGGCCCTGAACATAGTAACCTTGACATTATAGACTGACTAGACTGAGAATGGAGGGAGTGGGAAATTCAAGGAAAATTTTCTCTTAACCTCAATGGATAGTCAAATGGCCAAGGTCATGGAGGAACATCCTCCCAAATCTAGAAGTAGTAATACAAATTTAAGGGAGTGAAATGCTTACTGAGATGGCAAACATGTGGAAAAGCTATAATACAGGTGCCTTTCTAGGAAGAATCCTACCTGGAAAAAGCGTCAGTGGAGAGACTAAATTTCTTCTCAGATATGACCAAATAGAGAAAAACTAAAAGATGGTGAAAAGCATTTGTGACTTGTAATTTTAAAAAGCTGTGTTGAAGTGAAAGTTGATAATAAAAATATCTATAGAAAATAAGATATGATTCTTCAGTTTGTTGAACAAATGAGACAATATTACCCAATGTCATAATGTCGGCTAATATTTATTGATCACCAACCACAGAGCCTCACCTCACCATCTGAGTCACTACCAATATTTCTTCCATTTTACAAATGAGAAAGCTAAGACCCTGTGGAGGTAAGGGACTTGTTCCACATGACTCAGCTCATGAGAATGGAGGGGGACTTGGGATTAGAATGCAGGGATCTGATTCCAAAGTCTGGGATCTTCTCCACACCTCTACAGCTTAACCCTATCATATAGTGTTCGAGGAATCTGGGGGAAATTTAAGCAGGTGCTGAGGAGTAAAAGTTTCTGTCTATATCTTTAATATGTGACTCTAGTTCTCTTAGAGAAGAAAGATCTCCGTCAGGGTCCACAATACTGTGATGGAAATTCCATCAAATTGTGATGGAAAAGGTCCTTGGGATCACACACTCCCTTTGCTTTTATTCTTCATTCTCCTGATTTTCTTCCCTGACATGTAGGAGAATGTCAGGCTTGGCCCATGAGGGGCAATCCTCTTGGGCCTTAGCCTCTTACCAAATCACATCTAGTACTTATTGGACGTGGGCAGGGCCATTCCTTGCAGCAATGACAACGGCACAATGACATGACATTCCTGCACTCATACATGGCATTTGAGTCTGCTGCTATAAACCACTTTCCCTGAGTCTGATCATTCTCTTAAGTCCTGCCTGAAATCAGAACCTACAAGCATAAAGGGCCCTAGCTGATTTCATTTGACCATGAGACTCAGCCATGCTGTTGAGAACAGATTCCCGCCTCAGGTAGGAGTTGTCTCTCCATTCCTATTAGGAAGTTGGGATGATAGTCAATTTCTGGGGTGTTTACAGGGCATCTAAAACAGTTTTCAGGGAAAGACGTGTCAGTGAAGGAGAACCTAGGTTATGAGTGGGAGTGGGGAAGATTGTACTTCCCTTTTGCCTCTGTAGTGGTAAGGATAAAGGGAGAGAGGGCAGGATTGGGGAGAGAAAAATGTCTATAAGACAGATATAAATTTTATGAGATTAACATAGTTTTGGGAACCCACTAGAACAGCCTTTAATTTCTCCTTGTTGCCTACTGTAATCATTGCCCAGCCACCAACAAAGAGCAACATCTGGATGTTGGGTTGGGGATAATTCATTAAAACTCTGCTGTGGGTCAATGTCTGGGATGATGTGTAGACAGAGGAATATAGAGGAAGGGGGAGGAGAAGCAGGTTTGGGTCAGAACAGAGTGCCCACCCCCTCCCAACTGGGGGCAGCTGTTGATTGCACTTTTGGGTGGGAGCAGCTTGGAAGGGAGTGATGATCTGGGTTGTGATGTCACTTTTGATGTGACCTTGGATCACAGTCAAGACTATTCTCCCCCAAAACCCCCCTGAGTGTCTTTACCTCCACAGGAATTTTGCTCACTGAGGACGTTTCCTTTCCCCAAAGCAATCGTTCCCACAGAGCCTAAAGGTCACACCTTGCCCTTCTGGAGTGAACGAGTTATTTCTTCTCCCATCTCACTCAGTAGCTGGTGCTGTGTGCTTTCTCACCATGTCCGTATGGGATGTGGCAAATGGTTTGCTTTGGGGTGGGTAAGGGGTTGCTTCTGAATCATTTACCAGAACTTCTAGTACATGACTGCAAAATTGGTGGGTCTTTCTCTTTCTTTCTGTCTCATAGTTCAGCATAGATATAATGAAGTGTTATATTTGCAAAATATAACGCAGACCTAAGAATTCTTGTGTCACGTCCTCTCTCTCTCCTCCAGTCTTGAAATGACATCTCCTAGTAGTAGGGCCCCCGCCCCCCACTGCTATTAAACTTCTGTTTCTGACCAAGTACTAGGAAGTAGCACTGGAACCACATGTGGACAAAGCAAAAGTTCCGAACCATTCTAGCCATCCCTTCAAAGCCTGCACATGGGAAATCAGACATTGCAGAAACCTTCTGGGCCACTGAGAGCATTTTACCAATGGAACTGTGGCAGGATAATTTACTGAGATACCAAAGACTATTATTCTGCCTGTATTCTCTCTGGCTTTTTTATCAGAACCTCCAGTATATGATTGCACAACTCTAAACATATTTAATGATGCCTTGTCTTGGGCTCCTAAGCCTGGAAAATGGAGGATGGATCTGTTACTGGACCGCACTTAATTCATCAAGGCATTGAACTCCACCACTGAGGTTTTTAGGAGTCAGCTTTCTGGTCCCCTGGGCATCAAATGCTAAGACTTTGGCTGAGCAGCTATGAGCATCTTAAACACCTACACATAAATACCTACTCTGAGTGACACTCGACAACTCCTGAGTAGACAATGGGGACCAGAATGAGGGGGATTAGCATTGGCTTGTGTCTTTGGCTTGGCCCTTGTCTCCCAGAAATCTCATCTTTCCTGCAGTCTCATGGGGGCAGGGAACTTCGACATTTTTCTTGACCCCATAGAGGATATAACAGATAAGAGGAGGAAAGCCCTGTCCCAAGAGGGTGCCCACCCTGGGCTCTGCTGAGTGTCCCAAAAGACAGGGTCCCCACTGGTAAACCAACTCCCAGCTGACACATGTAGAGAAAAGATGGGCAGGGGAGTGGTGTGCATCATGCTATCTTCAAATGGGCTGTTATTTGGTAGCTGCTTTTTAACACAAATACAGTTTGGGGGAAATCAGGGAAGAGAGAAGGCCAAGGGCATTACTATGAATCCCCACCTGACTATGTTCCCAGGCATATGTGATTCATATATGTGATCTCACTGAATTCTCCACTCTCTGCATGGGCATTCTCAGGAATCACACTGTAAAATGAAACAGACCCAGCGAGATTAAGTGATGTGCTCAAGGTCACATGGTTATAGAAAGTGTGTACACACACATACACACAGGACGTGTGCCTGCCCAGCTGCAAACTCTCTTTTGTATCACTCTAAGAGGTGGTGGAAGCCACAGCGGGCAGATGTTAGCTCAGCAAAGGAGAGTGTTCTGAGAGTTTGAGTTGTCTTAGAATGGCGCTCAGGTGGCCCAGGAGCTTTCTCTCCAGGAAATTGTTGGGAGAGAGGTTGGAAAACATCTTCGTCAGGGACCAGGGATGTTATCTTGGGCAGAGCCATAAGATCACTTTTAAGACTTGGCAGCTCTGAGCCTTTATCTCTCAGTTGGGAGCAACCTGAGGTGGAGCTTGAGAACCCTGAGCTCCTGCTCAGTTATATCAATTTCTGGGCCTCATTGTCCTCCTCTAACATAAGAGCATTGGGCTACAGCAGATGCTTTGTAAGCATTGTTAGCCATGGAAATCTCTCCTCAAATGGGTTATGTGTGTGCCAAGGTAGCTTTTTGAAATCATATGTCCATACCTATACCTGTATCTATACATATGTATATAGACACACATATCCATATTTCATATATGATACACACTCAAATATATGCCTGTGTGCATATATATTTGTGTGTGCTTGTGTGTATAATCCTGTATTTTTGTTTGTTTTGTTCCCTTCCTTGTCTCTTTCTGAGCAAGATCTGGGAACATGTTTGCTTCAGGAGGATTTTCGGCCCTCAAACAAAAGCTGTGTGAAGTCAACTGTTCTCCCCGTGTCACGGAAGTGGGCAAGATCACTAAGATATTCTGCTACAGAGGTCTTTGTGGCGATAAGATGTGAGAAGGCACACCTGCCAGGGTGACGAGAACACAGAGGGAGATCTTTACCACATGTGAAAATAAGTCTGGTGTGTGTGTGTTTTGGTCGGGGGACGTTCATCTACCACTGTGACTGGACTGAACTTCACAGCCAGATAAGCATCAAGATAAGGCACCCAGATAAGCATCAAGATCTGGGAGGGGATGGCTGCCCTGCATGCCCAGCTCCACTGACCAGGCCCAGGGAGCCCAGTGTCAACACAGAGGCTCTTATCACACATGTGGCCTCCAAGTTAAGAGCTGGCCAATTTTGAGGGTCACTGTGACCTTGAATGCTAAGCATGGAGCAGTAACCATAGTGGCCTGTGGCTTGGAGTCTGTTCCCCATTTTTCTGGCACTATGTGAGCCTCCCTGATCTGGTGTGATTTAAGGAAGATAAGGAACTGGGGTATGTCCTCCATGTCAGAGTCTGTACTGAACTTTTTACCCATAGGGCACCCTAGATGTAAACCATAAAGAAATCACTGCCCTGGTTGTGTTTTTCCTCCTTGTATCTCTCCTTCATCCAGAGGTGGGGCTGCACTGACCACAGAACTGGGCTCTTCATTTCCAATCCCAAACACTGCTGTTCTAGAGACAAATGTGACAGTGCATGTGAAAACTGGAAATGGTAAGAGAGATGAATGTTGCTATTCTCCGATAAGATGATTTTCACTTGTTTGGATTTCCCCCACAGATTCAGGACAATCTGACCAGCCTGGACAAGGAAGGAGACTTGGGGAAATTCTGATGAAAGTCCTTTGGGCTGTAAGTTTCATGAGGGTAGGACTTGTGTCTGCCATGCCCACTTCTGAGCCTCCAGTTCCTGGCACATAGCGGGTGCTCGATATTCCCTTGTTTGCTGATTGATGGCAATAGTAGTGCTGTTCAGCACCTCTGCAAAGACTCCCTCCTTTACTCGACTGGCAGCTATAGCCCAAGTGGCCTGCAACGTCCTACACAGGTGAACAAGAGACAGGCTGAAAGGGGCCCAGGCTGTGAGTGAATGGTCTATGAGTCAATTCTAGCCCCTAGGGGCCATGGGGCTGGATGTGAGGAGTTCATCCAGGAACAGGTGTTGAAAAGCATCAAGCTGGGTGATAACACAGCAAGGGTTTGTGAGGAGGTGGTGAGAGGTGAGAGAGAGGAGGGTGCAGAAAACAGGGGAGAAACGTAAGCAGAGGCTAGCCTGCCCACAGCTGGTACCCAGTGACTGTTGTTCAATAAGTAAAGAGAAATCAGTCATTTCCATCTAGTTATTAAGGCCATGGCAGCCTCCATGCAGGGAGGTCTGGACTCTTCCCCCAGAAATTCTCAATAATGGGGCTCTCATTGATCTCTTTCTCCAGGACAGGAAGCTCGGGATCTTGGTGAAGACCTGGAGGGGTTCCATTTTCCATCCAAAGGAGGCAAGGCCCTGGGTGGCATTGTTACACGGGAGGGGCCCCCAGAGCCCCCTTCAGGCAGAGGAAGGGAAGACTGAGCTGGCCTCCATGTGGTCCTGCTCTCCCCATCTTCCTGGGGTGGGTGGTCTCTGTTTGGGTCTGCGTGGGAGATCAGAGGCAGTCCTGGGGTCCAGCCCTGGCCTTGAATGCTCCCCCAGCTTGACCCTGGCCTAAGCCCTTCCCACTGAGCTTCTGTGAGGCTGCACCTCTGGAGCTGCTGCCTGGCTTTGGGTGGCTGTGCTCTCACACAGGTGCGAGCCTGAACTTGGCTCTCTGGGAGTAATCCCCAGCTTGGGGCTGCAGAGACTTGGAGGAATGGCCACCATTTTCTTCATGCAAAGGCATAGTTTAACAACAAGTAGCCACATGAGTGGCAGTCCTGAGAGGGTGCCTGTCCATACTTAGTCCTGTCAGTGGGGGCGGCTTTTTCTGAGGCAGCTACCCCAGGGGACATGATTTCCAAATGCAAACTTCCAGATGAGGCGCTGTATTAGTTTCCTATGGCCACCGCAACAAATTCTCACCAACTCGATGGCTTAAAAGGCTGGAAATTTATTCCCTCACAGTTCTGGAGGCCGGAAATCCAACATCAGTTTCCCAGGGAATCTGTTTCTTGCCTCTTCCAGCTTCAGGAAGTGCATTTCTTGGTCCATGGCCTCTTCTTTCATCTTCAAAATATACAAAAATATAATTGAAGGAAATACAAATAAACCAAGATAACAGGAAAAAATTAGCATTATCTAATATTCACCACCCAGTTACAACCACCAGCAACCATTTGGTGTACATTTTAATAGGCTTTTTGCTATGCAAATTTGTATAGTTTGTAAAATAAAAAAGGGATAATGCTATACATAAGATTTTTTCCCGTTTTATTGAGATGTAATTGACATATAGCACTGCATATGTTTAAAGTATACAGCACAATGACTTGACTTGCTTATGTTGTGAAATAGTCATCACAATAAGTTTAGTTAACATCCTTCATCCCTCTAACGAGGTTTGTCTTGGTCTCTGCAGTGCAGGGGGTGCTTCAGCCTCAGTTCTCTGTTCTAGGATTTTCTCAGTGGTGTCTTGTTCATGAATAGTTGTTAGTCATTCTTCTCGTGAGGGGGAGCAAATTCGGGAGTGACCTATGTTGCCATCTTGGTGACGTTACTCTCCCACACATGAGATTTTGTACCTGATTCTGTTACTTGGTCATCTATGACTGTCAGGAAATACTAGTCATCATTTCAATGGCTGCTTCTATTTTGTCATTTGCATGTGATATATGAACTTACAAGAATTTACTTATTGATGCTCTTTTTGCTTTATTTCAAGTTGTTCTCATTTTTAAATTTTTTGCTAGTGTATACCATACTGCAATGAACAACCTTTAAGTACTTGTCTCATTTTCTGAGAATAAGTACATAAACTGGCTTTGCTAGTTCAAAGCATACTTGCTTTTTTTTAACTTATTGCACACGTTAGCAAATTGCTATCTAAAAGGATAGTACCAATTTATGTACTCTATATCAAGAAATTTCTATGGCAGTTTCTCCACATATATGCCCAAACAGAATATTGTCATTTTTTTAAATTGTTGCCAGTCCAATAAGCTAAAGTGTTAACTTGATGCTTTGATAATTTTCTCTTTTGGGAGTGAGAGCATGCAAATAGCCAGTTAAAGTTTTTCGCCTGGTTTTCTACAAGGTTCCTAAAGATCATATTTATGTTTATATCATATTCCATTATGTGGATATACCGTAGCTAATGGTTTCCACTTTGTTATTTAGGTTGTTTCTCATTTTTGACAATTTTAAATAATATTGCGATGAGCATCTTTATGCTCAAAGTTTTTTGTAGAAATGTGTGAAGGTGTGAGTGTGCCCGTGTTTGTGTCTGTGTGTGTTTCACACTGTTTACAGGATAGAGTCCCAGCAGCAGAATTATTGTGTCATATTGTTACCGGCAAAGGGAGGGTCCTCTTCTGAATGCAAGACATGCCCATAGTCAGGAGGCAAAGTGGTGGGAGAGGAAGGATTTCTTTATTGCAGCTTGCTAGCAAGAGGGAAGATGAAGGACTAACGTCCAAAAGAATCATTTTACAGAACAAAGACTACAAGCTGCTTATATAGGGGGTTGGTCTCCAGGTGGGGAAGGCAGCTGGTCTCTGGGTGGGGCCGCGATCTGATCTCCAGGTGGGGGCAGACATCTGCTCCCAGTTCCTGATAGCCCTTTGTTTTGTTGAATATGCATTAGAGAATAGAGCCCTCGCATACTCATAGATTTTTCTATGTGGTACAAGATTCCCCCTAACCCAGAAAAGGGAATTTTTGAAATTCAGGAAGAGGATAGGATCCCAAAGTCAGGAAAGAGTTTGCACACCAGATTGGATTAGCTTTTTGTAGGAATCCTCCTCTGAAGAGAACCAACCTGGGATGAATTTGAAGTTTGCTCGCTGAGGTTAAACGATCCATTCTTTTAGTGACAAGAGTCCACTAAAATGTAGTCATTGAACTATTTGCTGTGATTTTGTGAAGTAAAGAGTAACTGGCAAAATGAAGGGCAGTGGCAAGGTGAAATAGTTCTAATTGTCTCCTTCACAAAATAAACTGAATCAAGGTTGGTTGAATAAATACAAAAGTAACACCCTGACTTCCGTCTTTAGTGATAGCAGGCCAGGTTATTTGGACCAACCCTCTGAATGAAACAAATTTAAAGGAAAAACAGGGGGAATAAAACTTTTGAAAGCATTGACAAACTGACAAGACAGCAAGGGACTGTCAGGTTAAATTTTGGATTTAATTCTGAAACCCAGACAGATAAGCAGAAGTCAAGACAACTCAAGCTGCTTTTGCCATGAAGGTATTTGCCAGCTAGACAACTGGGCCTTGGGTTTTGGTGATTTCTTGGGGGAAGAGGGACAAAAGTGAAGGCCCTGGGTCCAAGCAATATGGAGACTCAAGTAAGAAACTCTCCTCATGTTAATCTGGGGCCCCACAGGCTGCCCTTTAGCCTAACAGTGAGCAGAAGTAAATCTACCCTTGACAGAGAAGATAGCCTTGGCACTGAACAATGCAGGAAAATGGAGAAAAGGGATAAACAACCAGATTCTGAGAAGCTGTGACCAGGGACAGCCTTCCTGAAGATTTGCAGCCTAGGTTCTCATTGGGTCTCCAGCAGTGGTCTTGATTTCCAGGTGGTTTAGAAGGGAGATGCCTCCAGGGGCCAGGCAGAAGCCATTGCAAATCCTCTCTGAAGAAGATACCTTTATTCCAGGCCTTGGGAAGCCTGCCACTCTCGGCCCCCACCCACCACACATGCAAAATCTTTTGAAAAAGTATCAAACTGCACATAATCAAAATGCCAAAGAACACATGAAAACGTGACCCCGTGAACGAGAGCCAGCAGAAATAACTCTTAGTACAGACAGATCAGCAACTATGTGCTTGAGATTTGGAATTATCTTGCACATATTATAATACAAACTTAAAAATGACTGCAGGAAACAGGAAAATATGAAGTGTCATTACTGATTGGATAAAGAACTAGATAGAATTTCCAAATATAAAATTGTACTGAAAATTGTATTGAAACCAAAGCAGCTTTCCTCCTGGCAAGTGAAATCAGACTCTCCACCAGAAGGAGCTGACTCATACAGTAAAGTGTATTTGCATCAAATGGGAGACCATGAGGAATCATTTCTGGAGTCATGGGGTTCCCGAACAAAGGGAAGAAGGGACTTTTATTTTAGTTGGAGAACGGGAGTTTCAAAAGGGAGAGGTGGATGGGATGGGCCTGCAGGTGCAGCAGTTAAGTTTGCATGTTCTGCTTTGGCGGCCCAGGGTTAGCCGGTTCGGATCCCGGGTGTAGACCTATGCACCATTTGTCAAGCCATGCTGTGGCAGGCATCTCATGTATAAAGTAGAAGAAGATGGGCACGGATGTTAGCACAGGGCCACTCTTCCTCAGCAAAAAGAGGAGGATTGGTGGCAGATGTTAGCTCAGGGCTAATATTCCTCCAAAAATAAAAAGGGAGAGGAGGGCGTTCACTTGAGCCAGCTAAGATGGAAAACATGCTTCCACATAGTGCAGGTTCATAAGGCCTAAGCTCCTCCTGGAGAGATCTTAGCACTTAAAATAAGGCCAAGGTCATAGGCATAGCTCTCCTAGTGAGGCTTGGTCCGGCTCAGGGTGGTTGGTTGCATCTCCTTAACATAACAAAAGGGAAGAAAAATGATTTGGTAAAACATTCAAAGGCTTTCAAACCCTGCCTTGAACTCCTCAGGGTAATTAGTCCTGACAAAATAACAACATTAAAAACGAAGTGGGGGGATTTGCTTGCACATTGAGGACACCAGAAAAGAGGATTCTTAAGTGGAAGAAATATCTGAAGAAATTATTAGAGTACAATACAGCAAAAACAAAACTAGCCTAGTAACTAGAAACTATTAAAGAAAAATGAACATTGTTTATGTAAAATGATAATCACAATTTCCAATGTGTTAACAAAACAGGGTGGAATTAAAATCCACAATTTTGGGAGAAGGTAAATGAGATTAAAAGGGCTGTGTTTCCTACATTTTCAGGGAGAAGTGTAAACCTACTGATTAAATTTAGTCTTTGATAAGTTGTGGAGACATCCTGTACTTTTATGTAACCGCTAAAACAATATAAGCAATGCATAACTTCCAAAGAGTAGAGGGGAAAAGAGGACAGGTAAAAAAGTAATCCATCCAAGACAAGGTGAGAGAGAAGAGGGAAAACGCCACAGAATAGTTGGGAGAAATGCAAAACATAAAGGTCAGAGTAGACTTAAAAAGCGAATATATCCATAACTACGTCAAATGTAGAGCATCGTGAATACTCCGAGTTAAAAAATCAAACGAATATCAAATCAGCTGTCAAAAACAGACATAAATATGTGCTCTGTGCAATAGACAGGTCTAAAAAGCTGAACGTAAGAGAAAGGAAATGGATCTACCATTATTGGCAGTAACCGTAGAAAACCATTGTAGGTGTATCAATACC